AGTAATCAAAGTGAACAAGAAGTCAACACATTTTCAATAAAAAGTAAAAAAACAAATCATCCGTCATATCGGACCCCGCACACGACCGCAGACCAAATAAAATAATAAAAAAATGTTTCTTTTTATAAAATATTATAAAGAAATAATGTCAATAGGCTTTCTTTTTATTTTTTAGAAAATAACCTACAAAAACGTTGTTACAACTTCTTTTTATTTTTTTATAAATAAGTCTACAAAACAAAATCTATTGTTTTTCCTTTTGAATTTTTTTAGAAAATATCCTATAGAAAAACGTCTTTACAAGTTCTTTTTAATTTTTTTATAACTAAGTCTACAAAACAAAATCTATTGTTTTTCCTTTTGAATTTTTTTAGAAAATATCCTATAGAAAAACGTCTTTACAAGTTCTTTTTAATTTTTTTATAAATAAGTCTACAAAAAAAATTCAATATTTTTTCTTTTGAAAGTTTTTTGACAATAGTCAAAACAAAGTGCGTTTATAAAGGAATTCAGTAGGATCGCGGAAAGTCAATAAGAAGTCTAAAAAAATTAAAAAGAATGTTGAGACCCATTTTTGTAAGGGTGTGCAGTCGTAGGACCAGCTCCGCAGCAGGGCATCCGATCATAAGACACAAGGGGCTTAAAAACCGGTCTTGTTTCTCTCCGTCCTACTCGGTTGCAAGTGTGTGACCGGCGCTTTAGTGTGGACGCGAGAGAATCACCGCGTGGCTCATAGGAAACAATGAATAAACAAAATCGCACTTCCTAGCTTCAAGTTGGACCTTGAGGCGAATTTCTACAGATCCCACAAGCTTCATTATTTCTTGGTTTGCAAGGGTTGAAAGAACAAGACAAACTTCGTATTCCAGATCTAGTATGAATCAAAAGTTCTATATAAATGGGCAGGTAAACTAAACAAACAAAGGGCTGTAGTAGCTCATATTTGCCGCGATTTATTATAGATTTATTCTGAAATCAATGCGCTGCCAATCCCAGGCTGCCTGTATTTGCTGTGTATGGATGATCTGATCCAGATGTGGCTTCTGTACACAAACATTAAAATGTTACTGTTTCTGCGGAGAAACATTGTTTTGTCAGAAAGTAAGAGTAAGAGGCTAATATTAAAGATCAAGTTTTCATTTTGTCACTTCTGTTAAAAATTGTTTTGAGTGCTTATCTGAAGAGTAAATTTTCAGTTTTAATGGCGGCCTCTTGTAAAAAATGCAATGTGCATAGAACTTTATCTCTTGTCACTCCAAAAATTTGTTGACACAAATAAAGTGCGAGTTTCCGAATGCTAAGGAATGCAGTGAAACAGAGTGGTCGTCAATTTTTCATACTTTAACATTCCCCTACTTCTGAGTGTAACCAAATGAAAATGAGGTGGACTTGGTATAGCAAAGTGCTACTTTATTTGTAATAAGTTCACTGCTGATAAATTACCAAAGCATTAAAAAAAGTTAATACATACACTGTATCACATCACGGAGTCTCAAAATTTGATTACAGAACTATGCTGGTTTATGCTACACTGTTCATTGCATAGATGTTTTAAACGGGACACAGTCAAAATGAAATGAAGGATCATGGGCTCAACCGTGGAAGTTTCATGATTAAATGAAGGACTGTAGAGATAAAGTAGGAAACTGGCCATGCGCTTTTTAAACTGGCGGTGTAAACATTCATTTAAAAGCCTCGGTAGTAAGAGTGACAGCATAAACGGAGGAGGAAAAAGCTACATCTGCAATGGTCGTATTTTGTTCGTAAATGCTTATGCTGCTACACTCGTCGAAGAAAAAAAGCATGTCGTGCATGAGGTGGCTCTCCTCCCGATTTACTTGCAACAGATAAATCGACGCTTTTCGAGTTTAAACCTTGCATGATCTTATAAACTATCGAACAGTTGAGTTATTTTTAGGGTTCCATGTTTTCGGGGTTTATTTTTCTTCAAAGTCGCGGGTGTTGTTTTTGTGTTTTATTTGTTTTTTTAGCATTCGGTGTATATATTTAAGGCCGGGCAAGGAAAAGGCAGTTTTAGGGCTTATTTTGTCAGAAGGAATATCTATCTGAATGACCTTTAGTACCGATTAGGTACCAAGAAAATAAGATGCTGACAAAGGTTTCCCCGCTTTGAAAAGTCATTTTTTCTCATTTAAAGTTTCAGGGTTTTTGGTTTTCACCAATCACGAGAAAACCACTTCGGAGGTTATTTATTGGGGTTTATCGCTATTTACCAAAAAAAAAACGCAACCCTTGATACGATGCACATACAAAAATATTTACCAAAAAAAAAAAAAAACGCAACCCTCGCTATGATGCCCACACAAACGCCACATAAAGGGAAGGCTGACGTTTGTGTTCAAAAACGTGTTTATTTTTCTAACTCTGTACTGTCTTTAATGCTTTGCCATTTATTCTAGAGTCCATTGTAAGTCAAGAAGGTAGGGCAAGGGTAAGGATGGCTGGGGAGTAGGAAGCAGACGGAACGCTAAAGAGAGTAGGAGGTTCCCCCTCTCTCCTCCAGCGTTCCGTTTGCTTCCTCCTCTTTGTCCCGTCTTACCCTCACCCTATCTTCTTGAGTTGCAACGGACGATAGTAACCCAATTAGCATGCTACCCTCCGTTCAGTCAAGCTTTCACTGATCACACCTTCGTGCTAGGTATGGTACTAGTGTCCGAAAATCAAACCTGTTAAGCACTTCCTTAAATTCAGTCCAGTTAGAAGGGGAAAATCTAATCTTCCCCACAATCAAAAACGTCTTGCAGTAAACCACAAAATCGCCCCACGCTAAGCCTGAAAGCGCCATTTGACCCGACAGCTGGTGCAGCTCGTGAGTGCCACCGTTCCTGCAAAAGAACAGGGCAATAGAAACATTGAAAGCAAATTTCATGTGTAGATACAGAATGTACGAACGAGATTCTCGTATGGGTTTTAAAGGGATACTACAACGAAATTTCGGCGCTTATTTTTTGGTCTATATGTGTTCAAAGAAGCAGTATCACGTCGGACACAGCAATATCCTGTTAACAAAGACACGAAAAGGAATTCTAAAACAAATTAAACGATCAGCAAAAAGCACCTGGTGGATGTCGCTAACGCCTCGTTTGTAACGCCCGTCTAGGAACCTTGGCAGATAGTGACGACGTTTGTCTCGCTTCCGGCCACGACGAGACAAGAGGGGAAGGAGGAACTCTCCTCTTCCAGGGAATTCCTTTTGTGTGACCCAGGAGTCGCTATTGTTCCTCTACAAGATTATAGAAGATTAACCCGTCACTCAAAATTCGTACAAAAGCAGCCGCTTCGGTGGCTGGAACGACTAGGCCATCCTCTCGACGTCAGCCTCGCCGTAGCTTTGCTCGTCCCGAGACGAACTACGTCACGATTTCGTTGGATGTCACGTAGTCTTCGCTGGCTGTTCTCGGAGCGCTTGCCAGAGTGTGCCCTTTTTAACGAAAATACAGCCATTAGGCTCAAAATGCAAATGTCCGATTTTCATTTACGGACATTGTGGATCATATTCAACCCATTTTTGAACACGACGGGTATTTTTCAAATTTCGTTGAAGTATCCCTTTAAGTTCATATTAACAGTTACAACAACACAAAGGTAATCTGCTAGGGCAGGGATTCTCTCTGTGATGCGCTTCCGCGGTGTCCGCTGAGCTGAGCGTGAGGAAGCGGAGTCAGGCAGTTAGGTTTAACCCTATTTCTAATGAAAAGGGGCTGTTCCATAAGGCACTGGCTCTGGGCGCTGCAAACAGCCAGTCAAGCAACGCCCACGACCTGGCTATGCCCACACATCAATCCTCCTCGTAAGGTGCCGACTGCGGCAGAAAAAGCGAAACGGAAGGCTAGACTTGTCGCAGCAGCGAGGGAACATCGGGCTCATCAAACCGAAGGGCAGAGATTATCGTAAGCAGTTCGTCGTCGCTGTCAGGAGAACAGTGAGGTGCGTGCTTGCGGTAATAGCCGGGTTTACATGAATGCCACTTCAGCGTATCAACTCCAATCGGCCTTCGAATGAAGCCAACGCGGCAAAGTTTACATGAATGCGCACCAAGTCCTACATGAAGGTTACGCCATGTCGTGTCAAAGCTCAAAATTAAAGCTGCGTTTCCGGCACTGCCTGCACCACGTGACCACATTTTCCGGTGCATCACACATGAAGGCCTTTCAACGCTTTCGGCAAGCGTAAAGATCGTGCCCGCTATCTTCGATGCTCTACAATAAGTTATGAGACGGAAGGAGCATCAAAACCCAAGCGTTGGGCTGTGGGTCGGGCCGCTGGGCCACTCTGGATCAGAGGCAACGTACGTGTGCACGGCCTGGCGAGCGAGATCATTTCCAACCACCCTGAGAACGCCACCGCGTTTCGCCTCGCCAAACCTTGCGAACCCCGACCGGACCTCGAGGCTGAAAGGCTCCGGCGCAGCCAGGAACAGCGCCGAGGTAGAAGCTGCTTGTTCTGTGCTACCATGCAGTGCTCGGAGCTCGGCGTCGTTCGTGCTTGTGCCGAAGCTTCTTGAAACAGCCTCGGACGCGCAAGTCGCATCTCAGAACGCTTGGATGGGGGCCGCCCTTACCAAGCAGCTCAGCTATATTCTGCTCACTTATGATGGAAATAAAAGCTTGCGTTCCTTCTCGAGAGAGAAAACTGGGGGCCACCACACAGAACCACTATCTTCCGCCAACAAGGGTGGCTACCGCCATGTTCTCAGCTGTTCACTCGCTCCCGCAGCGAGCGCTTTCCCATAATCCTCCCCGTACCAAAATGTGATGCGACCTCTGTTTACATGGGTTGAAGGAACGCGTATTTGCAGTCTCAATCCACCCCTGTCTAGCGCGTGGAAGGCGATGCGCTTTCTTAGTGCATTATACCGTTTACATAATTGCACTGAATGCAACAACTGCAATCGATGCGACTAACTTGCATTCATGTAAACGTGGCTACTGAGGGTCCGTGTGCGGTGTTACAGCTATCGCTGTGACTCTACTGTAGATTCACACAGGCTGTTTCATGTTGTACTGCAAATATTCTTGTGCATGCATCTTTCTATCAAAAAGAAGGGTCTAGTTGGAGAGTGTGTGTTCTGAAAAGAGAAAAAAAAATTATCTTGCCCAGAAATAGTGCGTAAGCACCCACTTGGCGGCTCTGATTCGAGAAAGATCTCGTACTTCGGTGAGGTTGCGCAGTTCCACATCCGTCCACGATTCTCGGGTTACGACGGTCCCCAATGAAGATGCCGTAAGCCTGTTGGTTCGGGCAGCCTTCCGTGCTGTGCTTTTCGCTTGCTGGCGGCTGTCCATTTCAAGTTGGCGTGCTTGTTCCGGGGTTAAAACCAAGTCCTACGTAGACAAAGACAAGGTAATGCATAACAGGAGGATAAATATAGAATGCAAATGTGAAGCAAGTGGAACAATACCTGAAGAAGCAATGTTTTTGTAGCACCCAGGATCTCTGTTTCCAGCTGGTAGGTATTTGCCGAGGTGAAAAGCACCGGCCAGGTAGGGAGCACAGTTTTAGAGGCATCTGTGCCACACTGCACAATGTTCGGGTTGACGTATGTCGTAAATTCATGTTGAGACACCGGGTGCTGGTAAGATATTCCAGAGCCCTCGGGGACTACGCCAAACATGGAATCAGTGCCCAGCACTTCCAGAGAACGCAGGTGCTTCGCAAAAGGCGAATCCTCGATGTGGCCGAGGTCGACGCCCAAAGTGTGGAGGTCCTGCTGCATGTCTGTTATGCTCTTCTTGCTTTTTCTCGCGTCGTAGAGCTTCGAAGAGAGTGCTTCGGAAGGCCCTCCTTCCCGCACGCTCCTCCAATCCAGGTCGCCGACGCTCCCAGGATTGATTTGCGATCCCCGAGGACGACGCCATTGCTGCGGAAGCTCGGTGCACGTCACCTCCTGGGGTGCTTCCCTGTAACCTTCTTTTTTGAGAAGGGCAATCATTTGGAGCAGTGCTAAAGAATGATTGCACAGTCCTTCTTTGGCAGCACAATGGCAGGAGCTGGTAGAGACCCAGCCGTCTGCTGCGATCGTTGTAGATGCGCGGTAGGGCTTCGATGACTTCCTTTGGCTCGCGTAGCACTGCCCGCGCGCCACGACGGAGCTCACATTCCTGTATATAAGAAAAAGACGTTTTGAAAATGCTTATCGTACACTTTATAACGCGCAGTAGTCGATAATGCAGAATCGACAATTTACCCGTTGTTAACTATCGCAGTTTCAAGCGACGACGGCTCAACGAAGCTTTCCGTGATAATTTTGTAACTACGTCGCCGGTTACGCTCGGTCGTCTTCCGGGCGGCGTAATACTTATTCACCTGGTCGACAGCGAAGTTATCCGGAATTGTTGTCAAAGTTTTGCTCCACAGGAGACCAGAAGCGATAGCGCCGGGCGAACTAGACGCTGCAGCGGCCGCCATACCAATGGCTTCTCCCCCCGCACCCCCTCAATATCAGTGTTGTCTGCCGTGTCTTAAGAAAAGCCAAGTTCAGCGGATCATGGCTGCATTAATGTCGTGATGTAGGCGAGTTGGTTCATGGTAACGGAAATAAACAGCGCGCAAAAAATACACAGGACGAAAGGAAGGTGTAACGACACAAGCGCTGAAGAAATAAACAGCGCGCAAAAAATACACAGGACGAAAGGAAGGTGTAACGACATCAGCGCTTGTGTCGTTACACCTTCCTTTCGTCCTGTGTATTTTTTGCGCGCTGTTTATTTCCGTTATCATGGCTGCCTGCTGCAATTACGGAAAGGGTCTATTCGCTGAGCTGATTTCGTAGATTACAATGCGTGGCTTTTGGAGTGTTTTGCGGATAAGTACACGCGCAGACATTTCTTAGTGTGTACAACGCCAGGTGTACAGAGCCCAGATGCTGGAATCGGGTCAGTTCCGGGACTTCGAAGAACATTGTGCCGTAAAGATGTTTTAACCTATCGTAGCATATTACGTACAAGGGGTGTGCGAATAGTGATTCTTGAAACCCAATCGAATACGAATCGAATAATTGGGGCACCGAATCGAATACGAAGACGAAACGAATAATTTTCGAATAGTAAGTGGACTGGTACCAAAGAAGAGTACAAATTATAAAATCAGCTTATTATTTTTAGAATGTTTCTTAAAATCATTGTGACAATGCTACTAGATGATAATGACTAGAGTTCAACGATATAGAATTAAATAAAGACAAGAGCTACTAAATTGCTAGAATGCTAAGCATAATACCAAGGTTCACGCAGATGCTAAACATAAAATCACAGTTCACGCGGAACTAAATAAAAAACAAGAATCTTACGCCTTATCAGATTTCTTTTCACTAGCCATATGTGAGTGAGGCGAGACGGTACACTAGACATCTTATTTTCGCAGATCAGAAAATGAGAAGGCTTGTTACGTCCCAGGTTGAGGTACTTATATTTTCTCATGCAGAAAAAAACAACAAAAAAACAAGCTTTTCCACGTGTCTTTTAGCAGGAGACTCGTCGGTTTGTTACAGTGTTCGAGCACGTTGAGAAGACTCGCTTGCAACCTGGGTTGCGGGAATTGCCAGGTATTGTTGCGCCTCACGTGTGAGGGTCTTATACTTTGCCTACAGTTTGCAACCAGCAAAATGGGTTGTCGGTACGTGGCAAAAATAGAGACTGAAGGTAGTCGCAGACCTCTTGAAGTGACAACTTGGTGCATCATTCTTCTTCGACAATGCCAAGCTGATCAATATCATCCACACCAGGCACGTAGCCGGGATTTTGTTTCGGGGGGGGGGGGGGGCATGCCCCCCCCCCCCCTTCCCCCCTTTCCCCGTGGCTACGTGCCTGATCCACACTAAAAGCTGCTCACTGGTTTGAGATTGCTGTTCGGCGCAACTTTATTCGGACGTGAGCTGTGTTGAGCTAGGTACATCCTGAAGCATTGTACTTAGTAGGAACTCCACAATCTCTTTTTGTTCCTTGTTGTGGCAGATGTCCTTAAATTGAGGATTAAGAAAATGAAAGCCGTGTACGACTCCCTACAACACCGGATTAAAGCGCTCTTGAGGAGGAGGATGGAAGGGTACTGAAGGGAGGATATACTTCTCCTCCCTCCTCGTCACCGCGTCATCCTGCCTGGTACTCCGTCACGCGGGCCACGTGACCCTCGTGAGGTAGGTTGACCCCCGTGAGGTCACGTGACCTGAGGGGGGATCACGTGACTTCACGGCTACGCCGACGGCGACGGCGAGACTGCTCAAGCCGGAAACGGGCGCAAATAGAGCTGCGCTCTAAAAAGGTAGCAATGGCATGAGTTGCCTATGTGCTTACGTCCAGGAACCTTGTTCTCACTGATCTGAGAGGATTCTGGGAAGACGCCTTGTCTTAAATTCCACTTGCGCCCTCAGAAAGCAATATCTTCACACAGTGAACAAGTGGAACAACTATGAAAAGTGTTAGGAAAGACTCGACACAAGAAGCTGTTGTGGCTTCTTGAGTTGGTTGCAGCACTGACACCAAGGCCGTCACAAGACGCCATTTGTCCGTGGTCAAGTTTTCAACGGTATCGATTTCTGCCAGGTCTAACGCAACAGCGGTCTTCAGCTTTAGCAGGCGTGCCAGCATGGCGTGCTCGCTATTCTATCTTGTGGATACGTCTTGCACCAGCTCAAGAACTTCAATGCCCATTCTCTTTTGTATATCTTGCCGTCATGCCGGCGCACTGCTGCTCCGTTTACAGTGCCCCACCATGGCTCGCGCTTTGGTGCACGCGTTTGCGAACCTCTTGGTTTTTTTCTTGGCATCTTGAACGCAAAGCTGCAAGGTATGTGCAAAACATGCACTGTGCACCCATGGCGTTCGGGCAATCTAATAAACCAAGTTCCGAGCGTTATCAGGGGCCACAAAGTAAGAAAGCGTCAGAGGTATGCCCCGCTCCTCAAAGACGTCCTCGATAAAAGAACGCAGATTCTCCGCAGTGTGGCGTTCACACATGCAGTGGCACGCAAGCGCAAAACCGTAAGGCACAAAGTCCTCACTCAGCACATGGGACGTCACTGGCATATAAGTGCCGCAAGCTCGTGATGTCCAGCCGTCAGTGGTGATGGCTATACACCCTACGCCCTTCATTAGGACGCTGTGCAGCAAAGTGTGGAGAGCATACCTAGCAGCATCGTACATATCCGGCACGACAGCCCTCGAGAACGTCGTTCCAGAAGGAACGTTGTACTCAGGCACTACAGATTTCATCAGCTCCAGAAAAGCTGGTTCCTCTACGACCGTGTAGCTGTGCAATCCAGTTGCGATGAACCAGCCAATTTTCTTTGCTAGTGCCCTGGCGCGAACGCTCTAACTACACAATCGGGGCTTAAAAGCCGGCATTATACTTGCGTCCTTGGACTTCAGAGCATAGCGTTGCTCCGCCGGAGCAGCTGCGCTTTTATATTCCTTGCTGGCGCCTGGACGACTCTTCAGGCGATTCAACAAGGGCGTCGTCGTGTTTTTTTTGTTTTTTTTTGTCTGTTTTCAGGACGGCGCCACACACAAGACACTTGGATGAAGCTGCGCAGGAGCGCTCGAAGAACTTCCACACTCGGCTGCGCTTTCTCTTCGAAGAACTTCCCGCTGCAACCACTTGTTTTTCTCTCATACTGAGCGGCGTTGCAACCAGTTCTGAAACGTCTCCACGACACGTTTCCGAAGGCTTGCACGATAAGCCTCATGCGACAAGCTTCTTACTTGGGTAGTAATTAATTTAATGTAATTCAATTACTGTCATTTAATCACTTTTTGGTAATTTGTAATTGTAATTAATTACTTTAGGCTAAAAGAAATTGTAATTGTAATTTAATAACTTTTTAGCGTCAATATTTGCAAAATTTCAGGCACAATTACCATTACTTTTGCAAGACTTCGCGGCGCCGACGGAACCTCTCTGAAAACCTGAGCGCTCGCACAGGTGGCCTAGCGCCCGGTGACACACTCGTGACTCACACACATAGACACACACACACGAACAACAAAAATAGAGTCGCGTTTGTTGTTTTGTTGCTTACCCTGCGGGGTGAAAGACAATCCTCTTTGGAGCCCACCTCAACGCGACATGTTGCGCCGTCTGCGGTGCGAACAGAAAGCCATGGCGGAAACATGCCAAAATATTGAAAGACAATAAATTGAGCTTCATCTTTCAGCCGAGCTTGCGAATGTTAATTGATTATAAAGTTATTTTTCTGCCAGTTGTTTACGTTTTTTTTTCTCTCAATACTGTTGCAAATTTGTATCTGTACTATTTTGAAGTTTATTTTCTGATGGTTTTACTGCGAATATTATTTGCATAAGCATTTTGGAGACTGACCTCGCATCTGTGAACACTGTCACCGATGATTCGGGAGCCCCTATTCGGTTCTGACATATTTCTGAGCCATTATGACTTCCCCTCAATGTGAGTAATTTACAATAACATGCAGTTTGTTTGAGACTACGGTCATATTATCGCCATGCATCAACACTCATTGAAACAAAGGGACATAGTACTGTGCAAACAAAAAAAGCACAACTAAGGCCATACTTGGACCCAGACCCCTACGTGGTGACAAAAGTTTGAGGATCGAATATCACGGCGACACGACGAGAAAGAGACATAACTTGAAACGCAAGTTTCTTTGAGAAGATAAATGCTGACCTAAAGTAGCACGAGAAAGAGGACGATGAAAATGACGATCTCCATCCTCCAGCGGAAGACACTCCAGAGCAAGCGGGACAAAACATCGGAACGGCTGGACAAGACGACCGTTAGGAAACAGCCAGTCGATACCCTGCCAGAGCTTCAAGAGGGCTCATGCCCCCACGCTACCCGAACTGAAAGTGAACTATTGGAAGTTTTGAACCATCAATAACACTTCAATTTTACCTTGTTTCTTTTTTTACACCACGCCTAAGTTGTTTGCTTCAGTAATTATGGTAAAGGGGAATGTTTTGTTTCGATTTCAGTTTCGATATCATGGCAAGCTGCTCGGTAAGCCGAAGAAAGGCAAGCGAATCCAAAAGGGATCCATTTGGCCACATCAATAAAGTCGGTTATCAGTTTACGTAACCGGCCTCTTCCTTCTGGTCTAAATCACCAGACACAACAGCACCCATCCCTCCATTTCAAAAGGAAAAATACCGAGGCTGCGTGTGTCCAGCCGTTCTAACTACTCAAAGACTGTCGGCGCCCAGGCCATTGCATTTTCAAGGAGTGAGATGCGACCCCGTAGCTAAGGATTTGGCGTAACTTACAACCTCCTTTCCCCATCAATGTTCCACGGAGGCCTGGCAGCCCACTCGAGCGCCAACTTTAGTGCCCGACACCTTTGCGCCGGGTCCTGCCGTGCAGGCCTGTCCGTTAATTCGCGCCGAACCCGCGACCACGCCCCCCTTTCAACGCCTCTTCCCGTTAAAGGCACCGTT